TCCTTTAGAAGCAGAAGTATTAGGGCTTAGAATCAAGTCCTTGTCTACAAAATCTGCACTATGAGACGCATACATCATTTGCAAAGTGGGTGAATTTTCTTGCAATACTGGAGCGCGCTGCATATCAGCTTTAGTAGTTATCGATTATTACTCTAAATGGATTGAGGTTTCTAACATAAAAGATAAGACAGCAAATGAAATTATGATAAAGTTAAAATGCATCTTTGCCAAGGTATGGTATTGCAAATGAAGTCTGCGACAATAATCCTTGTAATAGCTACTTATTTAAGAAATCTTGCTGAAGGATTGGGATTTCGAACTTATATTTAGTAGCCCCAGATATCCTCAAAAGTAATGGGTTGGCTGAAAAAAAGCTGTAGGAATAGTGAAAAATATCACAAGGAAAAGTGCAAGATATAAGTGTAAGGCTTAATGGAATATTGAAATACCTCAATTAGTGGAATAAATTTGTCTCCTGCACAACTGTTACTTAATAGAAGATTAAGGACAAAAATTACCTATCAGTAATAAATTTTTAAATACTAAAATAAACAAACCTTATTCTAAATTCCGTGCACTACAAGCTAGGCAAAAATATTATTATGATAGAACCGCACAGAAACTGCCTGAGTTAAAACCTGGAGATAGTATAAACCTTGTTCAACTTTAGAACTGGGCAATGGAATAAAGGTGAAATAATTTCAAAACATAAAGCTCCTAGATCCTATATTGTAAGAAATTCAAATGGGGAAATATTACGAAGAAACAAAAGCCATATAAAATTTTCAAAATCACCTTACAAAGTTAATAATGATATAGTATTAGATAAAGAGGAAAATTCAAATGAAAACCCTGAAAATGTTTCTGTGCCTGTTAATATAGGAATTCAACAGAATAATCTATTCAATAATACAATAACAAGAAGTGACGGTTGATCAGACAACCTTCAAGATATAGAGACTTTGTCATGGAATAAAATAATGTAACATATTGCATGTATCATTTTTATGTAACTTTTTTTATTGTTATGTCATATTGTGAATATACTTGTATTGATATTATTTGCTTTTTTTATTATTGTTTATAAACTGGAGGAAGGGATGTGACCTATATTTAAAATAACTACAACTATAACTGTAACTGTAAATAACTATAACTTTAATGGCGCTCATGCTATCCGATTCCGTTATTGTGATGCACGTGTTACTGTGCTAGCTGAATGTCATGTGAACTGTTTAAAAATGTATAATAAAATTTTGAATTCTCGAGATATACTCATTAGTTGAGTCTACTTTGAAAGTAGAGAAGTTATCAAGTTTAACAAACTACACAAGAAGTTACAAGCAACACTTACTGTTGCCAAGGCTAGAAATATAAATAGCAGCCTTCGTATGCAATTTAACTCATGCAGTGGTGGCTCATACAGACACAGAGAAGGCAGAATTAATTGCTGATTGCCTCCAAACTCAATTCACATCACATAATGAAGGAATTTTTGCGAACAATGCTAATTCTTTCCAACAAGATGTTGAACATTTCCTTTCCTCTCCTTTTACGAGAGAAATACAGTATACAACCATGAACGCAAGGACAAACCCCAAAACGCACCTGGATTGCACTCTATCTTGAATCGTATGATTAAATACCTGCTCTCCAATTATCTATTTTTCTTAGTAATGCTTATAAATTATATGATCATGCATTGCTATTTTCCTCAAAGCTAGAAGAGAGCACTTATCGTGCCTATTGCAAAACCTGGCCAGAGCCATTCTAATCCTCAAAATTACAGACCTATCAGCCTCCTATCTTCGTTATCTATAAAATATACAAATTTGTCCTACTTAAACGCCTGAATGATTTTCTCCAAAATCACAATGTTCTGATTTATAAACAATTTGGATTTCGAGCAAAACACTGCACCACGCACCAGCTGCTGAGGAACAGCAAAATGCTTACTGGCGCACTTTTTCTTGATATTGCCAAAGCATTTGACAGGACTTTGCATATAGAAATTATTATCAAGCTCATATGACTTGATCTTCCAGCTCAATTAATTCACATAATTAACTCGTATCTTGCTAATAGATCTTTCTCTGCATGAGTTAATTCTATCATTTCGGCTCCCCGTCCAATCCTCACCGGTGTAGCTCAGGGTAGTCTCCTCGGACCGACTCTGTTCAACATATTTATAAATGACATACCAAAATCACCTGGTGTTACTCTAGCACTTTATGCAGAATACTAGCTCAAAACAAACACCTTGAAAACTTGGTTCACAACATTCAGAGATATCTCTTAATCCTTGAGCACTGGCTCATTACTTGGAAAATCAAAATTAATATTGCTAAATGTGCTGCTATGATCTTTAAATGAGGCCCCCTCCTGTACCCTTTCATTAATTTAAGGTTTTTCAACGACTATGTGCCCTGGTCATATTCTTACAAGTACCTAGGTGTGTTACTTGATTCAAAATTACTTTGGCACCTTCACATTGATCATACTTTGAATAAAGCGAAGGTTGACAGATCCCAACTTTACCCCCTTTTAGCTCGAAAGAGTCATCTGTCAATTAAAAACAAAATCCTTCTCTATATCTCTGTTATAAGACCCATATTTTTGTACTTTCTGGGGTACGACTGCAAAAACTCATGTGAAAAAACTTCAATCCTTTCAGAATAAAACGTTACGTATGGCCCTGAACGCAGTCTGGTAAGTACATACAGATGTGATTCATTCGGACTTAAACATTAAACCTGTGGATTACGTTATTAAAAAACTTAGTCAAAACTTATTCATCAAAATTGAACAGACTGATAACCGAGCATTGCAACAACTACCAGAGTACGACCCAGCTATTCGCAGCTCACGAAAGAGACCAAGAGCCATCATTGGTAGGGACTACGGCGTCTAGCCACCAACTAAAAGGCGTAGACAGGCCCCTCTTAACACCTACCAGGTACCTACCCTCTAACCCAACCTACAAGGAAACAACTTCTCATGTTTAACGAGCCAGTCCCGACAGTCAAACAAGCAAATATCTCGGAATTATAATTAATGACAACCTCACCTGGGGAAATCGCATTCAACATGTCAAGAAGAAAGCTTATTATGTTTTCCACTGCCTTCTCCCACTATTAGGTAAGTACTCAAGATTGGACTTGGGCAAGAAAAGGCATATCTATCTCTGTCGTAAGACCAATAATGACTTATGCATTCTCTGCCTGGGCCGCTGCAACGGAAGCAAACATTAACCAGCTACAAATTCTACAGTCTAAAATCCTAAGATGCATGACAAATGTGCACTACTTTGGGAAAAACGAACAACTTCATCAGAATCTGAAAAATTAATTTGTAAAAGACTATCTCCTTTTAACAAATAGGAAATTCTTCAACTCAACGAACAACTTCATCAGAATCTGAAAAATTAATAAGTAAAAGACTATCTCCTTTTAACAAATACGAAATTCTTCATCTCTTACAAACAATGCGATTTCCTTACTTATTTTGGAACGTTCCATTATGAGCTACTGATCGAGAATAGATATCTCCGACCTCTTGCAGCTCATATGTTTGCCGAAAATCAGAATTTTCCCACCTAACTGAACTTATCGTGTATTTTCCGGACTGGAGATGTCGTCACTGCCTACCATCAGTTTATTATTCCCATTCCAGAGCGTGTTGTTTTATTATTTCTCAGACCTGTGCTGTCTTGCGATCTCCCCTTCTCACCATGAAAACCTCGCTTTCAAGCACCAGGAAAATACAAGGACATAATAATGACATTTTCACAACTGCTACAAAAAGGTGAAATTTGGCGAACACTTAGGCGTCTTTAAGACGTCGTGATACGATGCTTTTACAACCAAAATATCACCTGCGAAAGATACAATAACGACGTCTATGCGACAAAAACCTCATCTTGCTGCTTATAAGAATAAAGACGTCTTTGCAACGTCCACGAACATCCACTGTTTTGCAACGGTTGCAAAACAGTGGATGTTCGTGGACGTTGCAAAGACGTCTTTATTACGTGTTTGCAGATGAGGTTTTTGTCGCATATGCAAAACAGTGGATGTTCGTGGACATCTGGGCATCTTAAAAACGACATTTTGCAACGACATCCGCGACGAATGACGTTGCTGTGCTACTTGGGTATGAATAGAAAACGTACTTTAGCAAATTTAAAATACAATTTTAATTATTAAATAAGGATTACATGATAAAAATAAAACAATCACATTCTTATTCAAATCTTTCTGCAGGTGGGTTTTTCCTCCCTTTTCCCGAAGTACACTCTTTCTGCTTTAAAAAAAAACACAGAGAGAGACTTTTTTAATTTAAAAGTACCAAAATGTTTTACTAAGAAGTAGAACATGTCTAGGCCAACAATTATAAAATTAATTCTGCATAAGGACTTTTAATGATATGGTGTATATTCAAAATCTTCTAACGGCATTAGCAATTAATAATGGATTTTTGTTAATATGGATTGTTCACACGAGGTTATGGTGAATTAAATTATTGTTTAATGTGAGTATAACAAAACTTAAATTTAATTTTGAAGATTGCCATCCAAAAATAGTATTCATCAATTTGATTTCAAGAAACATTTGGTCTTAAAGATGCGTGTTCAATTAATTTATATAAGCAGTTACAATCATCCAACTAATTGGTCATTTTCAAATAATTTTAAAACTATACACAGCATACATATCTTCAGCCTTTTCTTCTCAAATACAATGTTCCCTACATATAGAAAGCAAGCAAGCAGGCTCTGAGAAACCACATGCTTATTACAGATGTGGATACCTTTAAAAAGTGATAAATGTAGTATTTAGGTTAACCCATTGAGAACTTAAAAATAATGTAAATGAGATAATAATCTCTTGATTAGTGAAAGTAAATATTAAAGCTAATACAGTAACTGGCTACTATTGCAAAAGAGATAAAATATGATGTTCTTATTAGAAGAACGGCACAAAAAATGAGCAAAATCTCACCTTAATAATACTTCAAATCCATCTATTGTCACATCAAAATTGTCAATGTGAAGTCTTCCAGAAGTATTTGACTGAAGCAACTGTTCAAACACAGGACTTCTTGCTGCAAGGATAAACCGGTGGCATTTAAATTCCTTTCCTTTCACAACAACAACAGTATCCCAAAAGTCTTTTGTTTTGTATATATGACATATTCCTTCCTTGAGACTAGATATCTTCGTCTGCCACCTCTCAGGTTTTGTTTCTGAAAAACAGAAAATTTCAAATTTTGCAGAACATTTAACACGTAATTTTTATTTTCTTAAAAATTTATCTTTCGCAATGCTTACATTTCCAAAGATAATATCTCATGAAAACTATTTTAAATTCATAATCTGTTTCACATAGGAAGGTACTATTTTAAAATGTTATACAACATGTCCACATCCAGCCTTTATTTTTGCAACCATTGGTCATATTTACAAAAATGCTTTAAATGAAGCTAAGATTCATGTTTTGATATTTTTCCATTTAAAGATGTCAATTTTATCAAAATTGTGAAATCAAACTGTTTATATTTTCCTCTGGTCCCTATACTTATATTTAAGAAAATGTTTTACTTGCTATAAAAAATAAAACAAAACTTTTGATTCCCGTACAACAAAAATTTGATTGGGCCGCACAACCGGTATAGTGGTTAGCATCGCTCCAAAGGGCCCGGGTTCGAATCCCAGAGAAGGCATGGATGTTTGTAAATGTATAGTGTCGGTGCGTCATGGCGGCATTCTAAAATGTGGCGAGCCAAAAGTCCTCTCATGTGGTTTTGTGGAAAGGGAGAGGGGTAGGAGAACTTAGAAACCGTCCCCCTCGGGATGCTCTCCATCAAACTGGGCTAAAATCACACCTGCACATGTTAGGTGCTCAAGATTGTTGCCAACGGCAGGCGTGATCTAGCGCTCCTTGCCACAAGGAATTTCATGGGCTTGGGCTGACTACGGCAGACTTTCTATTTCTGACATCATTTTCAGTCTGCATTGAAGGGTCAGTTTAATAAATAAATTAGAAAAATCTGAGGTTGATTTTCACCTCTGTATGATTTACCAGTATCTTCAGTTTACACAGGGTTCATAGCCACATTTTAGTTAAAAAAATAAGCACCTATAAGCACTTTTCAAGCGCATTTTAAGGAAAAAAATAAGCACCTGTCTAATTACATTATACACAACTGCATAACCTTAAAAGAAAAATTAGACTTGTAATTTAAAATATGAGCAATGCAATATTTATTAAGAGAATGAGCATTACCTCAACAATGGAGAACAATTAACTTTTTTTTTATTTTAAATGACAGTTCAATTTACAGAATTATTTTAAAATGAGAGAAAAAAAACTATGCAGAACTAAACTATATTACAAAATTTAATGATGATATTTCAGTTGAAAATATAGAAAATAAATAATAATAAGCCATATTAATTGTATTCGTTTGGCACCTAATAATAAATGCAATTTTTTTCCACTCATATTAATATTTAAATAATTTAACTTAAATCAAAATTCTGAACATTTTATAAATTTTCATTGCATAACAGTTTTCCCTTAACATATATCCCAAGCAAAGTAATTTAAGTAAAAAAGAGGCACATTTCTGAAATCAGAAGACGGGAAATTGCTTCATTCAGTCATCCTTTAACAGTAAAAGCTTAACTAACCCGCATACTCGGAAATTCCCGAATATTCCGGATAGTAACTGGAAAAAGAGGAGTGGGGGGAGATTGTAGCCGTTCTTTAGATTTAAATTTAGACTAAATAAATGATTTTGACATTTCGATATGTGCATCATATAAAAACTAACGGAACTGAGAAATATTTTGCTTAGAAAGCACAGTAAAACTCTTTTAAGTGTTCATAAGCAAATCTCAGACTGAACATCAAAATTAATTATCAATGCAAAATACCGCAAACGTTATTGCGCAATACGTGCGGCGTAATTCTTCCATATGTGATATTACGCAATCGGAATCAACACCTGCCGGTATTCGGAGAAAAAAGAACTAAATAAAGGAAAAAAGAGACTTACTAATCTGGGGTGTTTCTGATTCTAATTTTCAACAACGACTGTATTAAATTTCCGGAATAGAATCAATCTTCGCTTGGGTTGGGTAGACCGCAAAAACTTTTGGTCCTATTCAATCCAGATTGGACAGTGACAAAAAAAAAAGTCCGCTGCTTCAATATTAGAGGTTTTGCTGAGAACCTCCCAACCTCCGTACTGTATAATGTATTGGCAAAGAAAATGAAATTATTTTGACTATTCGATTACTTTCCTTTTATTTAAGACATTCCGATTATTATTCCTTAGAAAGCTAATCTGTGTGAAAACACACCCATTTTTGGAAGTTTATCTATATTTTAGCAGTTACTGCAACTATATTATTATAAATATTCATACATATGCTCATAATATAAGCATAACGATCATAATAAACACGAATATGAACTGACCACGCGGAACGAGAATGCAAATTATTAAAATCTTGATATAAATTCAAATGTGTGTAGTATTTGGGTGGGAGGAAAAGAATACCGAATGTACCGGAATTTTCTACGGTTTCGCAATTCTTTGGCCAATAGAACGACGTGCACCTGTCTGTACTCTCGCGCCCACCATAGGTTATGTTAATGCAGAGGAAGGGGGGAAAGCAATTTTCGGGAGTATGATTCACCATCTGACGTTGCATATAAGGAAGAAAAGTTGTTTATTTAGTTTCGGCTTTAGTACGGGGGGAAAATGTGCGTTCATTAAAAACAAAGGATTAAAAAAAAAAAGGACTAAAAGCAAAAAATAAGCACTGAAAACAAAAAATAAGGGCTTTAAAGAAAAGGTAAGCACCTATGCACCTATAAGGTGCTTACTTTTATATTTTATTTTCAAATATAAGGACTTATAAGCACTTGTAAGGACCGCTACGAAAACTGTAATACAGTTTTGTTGTATTTGGTAAGCCAAAAAAAAATTTCGATACAGGTATTTATTAGTTTTCGAAGTCTAAAAATGTGACTTGTTAAAAAAATTCATTTAAGTACAAATGTTTTTCTTTTCTAACTAATGTGAATAATATTATGAGTTGACACTAATACTAAAGTCTACCACTAATTTCTAGAACATAAATTCTCTTAAGATTCTGTCAATAAGTTAGACAAAAATTACAATAATCAATATTTTCCATTATTTTATTTTTAGTTATACGCAAATTCAAGCATTTCTCTCTTCATTTTGTATACAAGCCTCGAATACGTCTCCCGATTCCTATATCAAATATCTTAATCAAGTTTTCACGGTTCGTACACATTTCTGCGCACGGAAATTAAGTACTTTTAAGGACAATTAATGAAAAAAATTAAGGACCTATGTGCAAATGGGAACTGAATAAATTCAATTAAAAATATTATTCTATGCCTGAATTTCACTTTTGAAATACAATCCTAAAAATAAAATAGATCCCTAAGTAGTATGCACTATTACTAAACATGAATTAACTAACATAATTATTAATAAGTTTGAGAATAAAATAAACTTCATGCAATTTATCAAGTAGCATTAAATATTTTACACTTATTATCAAGTAGCATTAAATATTTTACACTTATAATAGTTGGACATATTTAAAAGAAGATAAGAGACATTTACGTTTTACTAATAGTTAGCTTTATGGTAAGTCTTATTTTGTTACATACTTGGTCAGTCTAGAGGTTTAGCAAGTAGTAGGGAGATTTTATGTCAAAAGGCATAGGTTAAAATCAGAAGTGAGATCATAATCAACATGATTAATAACAAAGGACTGAATGTTGTCCCTCTGCTGCTTGTCTATAGAGAGACCTGCTGATTGGAACAAAACCGGAAAGGCCTTATGTAGGCACGGTTGGCAAGTGTTGAAAGTTAGTCAAGCTCTGCTTAATGCAGTTAATGTCATAGCTTTGTGTAAAGTTTCAGGGGTTGTAACCCAGTTAATATACTTTAAGGTTCCAATAGGCCATTAAGGCAACAGAGGTGATAAATTGTTTTATATATAAGTCTCAGTAGATGCAAAGAATAAGTTTTACTAGATGGTGTTGATGGTTACTTGATGGGTGTTGGATGATGTAACCTGAGACAATTACATGGGAAAAACGCTTACTATGAAAAAATTAAAAAGAAGACATTTTAATTAATTACATAGCTAATTTTGCTTTTACTAACAGCTGTTTCGTAAATTATGCTTTATAGCTATATACCTTGTTTATTTTTCAGATTTAAAATATTGTATAATAAGTTGCCAAAATGAAAACTTTATAATATGACAGCGAAAAATAAAAATGTTTTATTTTAATGTTATTTTTTAACTATAATTCTAATATATTACCATTATTTTAATGAAATTTATCAATGTTATGATGTTTTAAAAAAATCGCTGAAAAAATCTCAGATCTCGGAATTAAAAATTTTCGATAGAAACTGATCTTAAAATCTCCAAAATGTTGACAAGTTGTCAAATTTAGAACCATTTAATAAAAGAATTCACAACCCCAAAAGCGAAAAGTTGTTTAAGAGCTCTTTATTAGAAAAAATGAATTTCGAAATGCTTATGTTTCACTTCTTGCTTAGAAACTCGAGTATCCCATCATTTATATTAGAAATGGAAACAAATTATAACCCATGAACCCATTCAAAAGATAACCATATACGTCAGTGAATTGACAAAAATATTCGTCCAAAATGCTAATTCACACTCAAAATGGCAGTCGTAAAAACAGAGAGAAATTTCAGATGATTAAAATTAAGGCCCTTCTACTGATTTTGGCCAAAATTAAGGAATTTTAAGGACCAAAAATCAATTTTAAAAAATTTAAGGACCGTATAAACCCTGTTTTTGTCTCACGAGAGTCAAATTTTTCGCATTTTCCTTTTGATAACAAGTACAATAAATATACAGAGACTGGACAACTACGTAAATAGCTAGATTCTACACTTTTTATAAAACTGAACTTTTTATATTTAAAAATGCCAATTTACGAACCTTTGCATCATTTAAAACATTTTTATAATTGAAGTATAAGTCTATGACTAACGGTTCTGAAAATAAATGTTGGCTACGTACTTTTGGGGAGAGTGTATATATCAAGATGTAGGCATGCAATATAATGTACACTGTATCTGTAAAAGTTCTTATGCTGCTTTAATTTTGTAAACGTTGGTCATAAACATATACAGTCAAAAGTCGTTAA